GAATGAAAACATTTCACCCGGCGATAATAAGAAATCCTCGACGGGGTGGTTGTTGAGGCGTCTCCAAAACCCATCAGAGAGGGACAGCAACCCCCCACCGTGGGAGTGCAAGATGACGTCAAGCATACGGGTCATGAAAGAAGGGGTTTTCCCGCAGGTCGTCGTGGACGGACAGTGTATCACCAGCAAGTGTTTTTACGACCTCTACGAGTGCCAGGCGATCAAATACGCCATAAAATTGCTGCAGCGGGATCCCCGGAGATGCAACCCCGTGGCTAACTTCGAGAACGGGACAGTGTACGAGGAGCACTGGAACCTGGTCACCCATTACGTCACCGTGGGATGCAATTGTGTGACTGCTCATCGACCAAGGCTCATTTCACCGAGGACGCGAGTCAGGTGGGCGGGTTGACCTGGTTGCCTTTCAAACGTCTGCAAATCTTGGATGGCAGCCACGCGCGACATGCAGCCCCAGGCTTCAGCCCCAGGCTTCAGCCCCAGGCTTCAGCCACCCCGTAGACATCAGGGACTAAATATGATACAAGGGATTTTTTTCAAATTTTCATGGTCAACCTCAGCCTCAGCCTAGAGAAGTTAACTTCACACATTTTATATATTCTGATTAAACTAAGACCATCCTGCACCTGTGAGACTGTCAAATATAAACAAAGATATTTATATATTTAAAGATCGAAAAGCATATTTAAAACATAATGGCTTGTTAAAATTATGCGAATATGGACTGTCAAGAATTTAATACAAACTTTTGCTAGTTGCTTCAACAATTAGATCCAAGATTGTCTCTGCGACAATGCATATTGATGGAATGCGAGCATAATATAGGCTCATCAGAATGAGTTGATGTGTTCCTGTGGATGTTGAGACGCGAATTGCAGAGACTGGGGACAACATCAAGGGGCACCAGCCGCAACAAGGGGTACCAGCTACATCACGAAGATACCAGCTGCATCATGAGGACACCAGCTGTATTAAAAGGGAACCAGCTATATCAAGAGAGTACCGGCTACATCGAGAGAGTACCAGCTGCATCACGAGTGCACCAGCTGCCTCAACAGTGTACCAGCTACATTTTGTCATCAAAGTCATCACAAGCTTACAGTCATGGTAAGGAAGTTAAACTATTGTACTTCTATTTTGAAGAACTCTATCCATTACCAAAGAACATGCCTTGGCTTATTTGAATGTGTACGGTGGGTCTACCAGAGCGGCGCTCGCGGCTTAAGTTTTACTTTATGTTACTCCTCAAATCTATTACTATTTGCAGAATTTAAAAGATTTTAAAAAAATGTTTTGCAAAGACACATTTTTATTTTTTTCTTTAGGGGCACAGAGTTAATTAACGCATTATAAATTTTATGTCCTGACCAATGAAATTAATTTGTATCTTAAACTCATCTTTATGGGACACCATTTTCGCAAAGTGGGGGAGGGGGGTGTTCGGTCAGTCCTGTTAGTCACCGCTGGGGAGACTTAGATAAAATGCAATAAGAAACCATAACTACACATTCTTGATAACGTATCACAGTTTCATAAGTTAAAATTAATTATTATTGTCAATTTTAGTTGTGTTTTTCTCAGCACTATTGAATTGTACATTGTGTCCGTATTGGTCAATGGCGAGCGCTTCTTGAAGGCAGTGTCGAAGCTAATAGTAGACACTTCGAAGACAAACTATAGGTCAATAAAAATGTAACAATTATGTCAATGTTATAATTAAAATGAGTTTTTTTTAATTTAGCACACAAAAAAATCAATATTTACTATTAGTTTTTACCATTAGAAAAAGGTGTTACCCCTTTTTTCCGGACACAGAGTAATTTCGGGAAAGGGAGGTGTGTTGTATTTTGCTCAAACTCTCGTTCTTTAGTGGCCGTCATTATACATTTGAGTGACTGTTAAAAGGAGTTGATAAGCTGTTTGAAGACAAAGGGATGATTTATGTAAAAAAAAAAATAATATGTGTTTTTAAAATGACTGGCAAACAACCTAAAATAGCTGGCTTAACACCTAAAATGGCAAGCTAACAGCATAAAATGGCTGGCTAACAATCTAAAATGGCCGGCTAACAACCTTTGGAAGATTTCATGTTATGTACTAGAGGAGTTTTGAGCGTTTACAAGCTCCGTGCATTATAAAGAAGTATTTCAAATGCAACAAAATTATTTAACCCCCATCCCACTCCAATGTGAAAAGGAAATATTAAAAAACCAAATACTGTTAAGGGATCTAGACTTCGCCCGATGGGGAAATCTTTTAATGGTTAAAAAAGACAGTTGTATAATTTCAAGTGTGAGCTGTGTTTGTGTGTTAAAAGGTTCCTATCAGGTCATTAGAGATCATTGTCTGGTTCCCTAATGGCTTCCAAGCTTAAGTTACTGGACTCGTTTTATTTGCTCGTCTCTGAATTACACAATAATGTATTTGCACCTTCTTCTTTAAAATAATAACTTAAGTGACAATGCCACACTCAAATTTTTGCTTGATACTAACTTATATTTGACGTTTTCTCCCTCCCACATAGCACTGCTCGTAAGACCACCACAGAACTAACTGTTGACTGACTGCAAAAGAGGTTGATGATGTCAAACCAGACAACATCCGAAACCGTTCAACGTGTCCTAGAATCTAGAACTTCAACCGCCATGTTGTCCCCCGGCATAGTACGAGCAGCTTATCATTACAATATTGTGTCTTTTCAGATTCTTTCGGAAGCTGTTGTTTTTTTTATATATGTATAATTACATTTGCATGAATATTGTAAATGATTATAAAAGCTTTAAAATATATTCATTTCAAATTAGAACATGTTAGATCTATAATTACTTGTCAAATATTTATTTCAAGTGGCGCACATGTTAGAACTATGATTACTATGTCAAATATTTATTTCAAGTGGCCCACATGTTAGAACTATGATTACTATGTCAAATATTTATTTCAAGTGGCCCACATTTTAGAACTATGATGACTATGTCAAATATTTATTTCAAGTGGCCCACACGTTAGAACTATGATTACTATGTCAAATATTTATTTCAAGTGGCCCACACGTTAGAACTATGATTACTATGTCAAATATTTATTTCAAGTGGCCCACACGTTAGAACTATGATTACTATGTCAAATATTTATGCGCATTTAATAGTTTCCTGTACAGAGACGCTTAAATAAGTGTCTTGACCGAGTGAAACGCCATGGAATGAATATACACAGGCTTACATTTCACATACTTCTTGATGTTTTAAAACTTTAATATCAAATTAGAAATGCATAGCCCACACCCGGTGTTATTGTCAAAAAAATCTTAGCATTTTAAATTATTTTCAAATGGTTGATTTCCCACCTTAAACATGTGGATCTAAGAGATTCCCTCCATTATATAGGCCTATTAATTTGGTACAACTCTACTGTTGTATGGGTTATGTGCAAATACCTGTGTGTGTGTATATATGTTTCTTCTTCTTCTATATATTGAGGGCCCACGATCAATTATTGATCATTTTGGCTCCTATGCATATAGAGGGGATTTGCGATGTTTACTTGATTACTTGTTATCAGCTTTATTTATCTGTGCCATTTTTACTTGTTAAACGAATAAAGAAATTAAATACCATTTATAATCTTAGACTATATTTCTTTTTTTTTTAAATTAAAAAAAAAGCTCTAATAGTATTCTATAGAGATGAGCCTCAGTTACCATCGTTTAAAGAATCAATTAGGTATTTATTTTCGTCGATATCTAAGAACAGAATATGTGGCGTAGGCCAAAGATCTCCGATCCGGCCACCCAACCCCCCCCCCCCACTTTTCCCAGCCATATCCCCATCCCTCTCCCCACCATCTAGTCCAGCGGTTCTCAACCTGTGGGTCGCGATCCCTATGGGGGTCGAATGACCCTTTCAGAGGGGTCGTCTAAGACCATCGGAAAACACATATACACAACAGTTATGAAGCAGCAACGATAAAAATTTTGTGGTTAGGGTTCACCAAAACATGAGGCACTTTGTTAAAGGGTCCTGGCATTAGAAAGGTTGAGAGCCACTGATCTAGTCCTTCTAAAAGTGCTTGCTGAAAACCAGTTTGTGCTGCGCACAACTTTTGCGCCTCAATGCCAATTCACAATGGAAATTTCTAATAATAAATTACTGAAACAATATTTCACTGATCATAGCCTACCGCATTTATTTATAATATGCACATGGTGGCCCCAAGAAGCTCAACGTTGGCTCTTAGGCCTAAGGGCCTGTGCTTTTTTACAAACATGGGATAGACTAGACCAGGCAAATCTACACTAACATTATCAGAACTATTTGAAAATATCTAAATCTCGACTAAAAACAGGGAACTGTACATAAATCATAATTACTGCTAAAGCCGTTAAAGCTTGTACTGTACAAAATGTAGCCTACTCACTACAGTTATTGAGTTAAAAATAATTATCTTACAGCAATGTGTCTTAATTAGGCTTAAAGTTATTTTTAATTTTTTTTTCTTTTTAATAATGTTTTAGAGTCAACTTCTGTGGAAGGAAAGGGGGCAGGTGGAGTGGACCACCCCGAGGGGGGGGCATTTTTTTTTATTAGGAGGGTGGTATTTTCGACCAACTGTTGTTGTTTTTTTTATGGTCTTTTTCTGGTTCGGGGAGAAAATCCTCGCCCCGCCCTATGTGGCACTAACTTTAGCAGCGGCATTGTTGTCAACTTAAGGCTAGGTGTCTTAAAATAAGATAAGACTATTATCAACATTTTCAGAAGCACTCTCCATGTCATTAAGCTAATTTCTAAAATATTTTAATTCAAGTTTTTCTTTTAAAATTGAATTTTATAGAGTTTTTAACAGAGACAAAGGTTGCAAGTTGGGGAAGAGAGAGGCTGTGTTAGTGTTATATCAATATTATTTTGGATCGAAATTTTGGATTCCACTTTTTAAAGATTGTTTATGTACACGTATGTTCTAGTAATTTCATTGGCTCTTGCATCAACTTCCGAAAATGGCGGCCCCCGTATGACAAATGTAAACAAAGATAGAAACTCGTAATCTAGTTTATCCATAACTTTACTTTAACTTGAAAATAGATATACCCTGCCTAGCTGTATTCTGGCTATTCATAGAGAAACTGATGAAATACACTTCCATTAAGAGAGACTATACTTGAACTGTTGTTAATTCTCACAAAGCCAGTTGCAACCTCCTCTGATCTGTGTTTGTTAGTAAGAGTGAGTAAGTATTATCATTATCATTATGAATATACTAATTACTATTTAAAATTTAACTACACTACACTTGGCTTGGTTAGTAAGTTAGTTTAGTATTATTTAAGTTAATTAGTCTGTAAATAATTAATTAACTATACAATTCAGTACAATAATTGTAAATTAAAAAATCACTAAAGTGTCTAAAGTTTACTCACTCAATCAATGACAGCCTATGGCCTATGGCCTATGGTCATGGTGACTAAAGTGAGTGTAGGCTAGGGTGACGAAATCATGAACTGGAAAAAGGGACACACCCAAGCTCAAGGAGGGTTTGGGGAAGATACCCTCCAGTTAAAGAGGGGTCCGGGGGCCTCCGTCGGAAACTGTTTATTGAAATAATTAATATGCTCATTTTAACTATTTTGAGACCTAGAAATTTTTTAAAATTTACCTTCACTTTTGTTATTTATTTTAAACTCTGAGGCATATCATAAGCCAAAACAATAACAATAATTTTTCAGTGAATAATTAGGTACTTTGTTAAAGCAAGGGAGACTATTAAAAAATTTGAATGGGAAATCGGCTCCGGCGCGCGAAAATCCAAGTCTTTAATTTTTTTGATGTTGGTACTATTTCATTCATAAAATAATTACTATATCCCACAATTGTATTCCATTTCCGGCCTTTCGCTTTAGAGGACATCTTGGCCTTCATTTTAATTGATTTCTTTTTCATTTACTATCAGTAAACTTTGAGAAAATCCATGGTGAATATAAGGCAACTTTCATCATTAAAATTAAGTCGAAGTAAAAGATATGGCACTGGCAAATTTTTTATGCATATTTGGCATGTATTGATCTGCATGTATTCCAATTTCACAGCGCTTTGTGTTATACGAGAGACGCCATGTTTCTAAGGGTTCGCAGCATGTCATGCAGTTCGCTTATCCCAATTTGGATGGATGTGACCACGCCCCATTTTTAATGGCGGAAGATGCTGATACTTCAAGTGCATAATTTCCTCATCACCACCAGTAACAGAAACATTGCAAATCCCATCTACATGCATAGGAGCCAAAATGATCAATAAATTGATCGTGGGCCCTTAAGATATAGAAGAAGAAGAAGAAATATTAAATTATTACCACTTTTTACATCAAAATATTTGATAACTTGTGTTCAGAATGCATTTTGAAGACATTTTAACCGGAATGTTTTAATTTGAGCTTTAAAAACCCTGTAGAGTCCATATTATAAATGAATTATAAAATTTCCATATGCAAAACATTGTCACTGGCAACCATTCACAGCCACTTGCTTAATGGCTTTATCGTAGCATTACCCGAGTTTCATTCATAAGATTTTGCCGTGTGGAAAAACTATTAAACCAGTGGTCAGGGAAAGCTTTAATTAATTATTCATATGCCAAAGTTGAAAGTTTAAAATAAGTGGATCCTAAATACTATTATAGCAATAAGATGATGCGTCGCCTTATATAAACTATATAGTCATTGCGCATAATGCGATCAGCAGTTACGTCTTTTTCACCCTGCAGCTTCAGTCTCATGTATTTTGCTATACATTTAAGATCTATGACAGGGACACTGTTTACGCAGCTTTGGCAGAGTGGTGGAGGGGGAACAGTGCAGCCATCACACGAGCCCACATCACTACTGGCACTGGCTACACAGCTAGCCAAAATATTACTTGAAGTTATATTATAAATTAGGAAGTTTTAGTGATTTAAAAATCTGTTTAGTTTTAGAAAGGGGACATTTAGGCGTCCTAAGAGACTTTTTCGGGACACCGGGTACGATCGTGAAAAAACGAGACAATCCCGTTTTTATGGGACGTTTGGTCACCCTAGTGTAGGCTAACTAAATGTAAGTTTAAGCCTAAAGTTGAAGCTTAATTAAATAGTATTTATTAATTTTAATAAAGTCTAAAGTTAGCCTACACAACACATTTATAATAAAACTTAGTAATTAATTAGGGTGCTGGGTGGCTCAGTCCATCCTGCAGGAGATGGGACTCCATTGACACAATGAAACATTCCGACAACTCGTGGTGCCAAGCTGTATCAAAATTCATCCACATGATGTAATGTTCCTTGGGTTATCCAGCAGCATGGAGAGAGGGGATTTGCTGAGTAGGGAACCAGCTTATAATCCTAAAAAGTTTCATCCCAGACCTTGTGGATTTCCTCCTGCGAAGTCTACACCATTGTCACATTGTTAGGGACCAGAGGGATGCCAGCAAAAAAAAAAATTAATTAAATTAATAAATAACTACTTTAGGCATAGGACCCTTTCTATAGACAGGAGTTATTTTATATATTCATGTTGTGATTAAAATTGTATTATTTTCCTTGATTTTGCCTACTCTCTCACATAAAAAAAAAGAAATTGTAAAGAATACACATCATGCATAAGCAAAGACTTTAAAGTCGTGTCAGTTAACGTTTGATTTATTGGCAGTTATTAGAATGTTTTCTCTGTATTGGCATAGACATAAGGTAGAAGAACTAGCATAATGTTAGGCAAAATCTAGTGACCATGATTAACGCAATGTTAAAAATCAGGCACTTTATTAAACTTTATTCAAGAAAGTGTCCATAGGCAGCTGTTTCATTCCAGCTGCCACCATAACGGTGCAGGTAGAAACTCACAATCCTTTGTTGCCTGTAAAGGAAGGCTGTCTACTTTGCCCTGTGGAAAGAATCAGGTTAAAGTTAAGATATGTAGCGACCATTAGAGCTAGTCTTAAGCAGTTCATGCTAACGTCTTGGTTATTTTTTCCTATGCAAGCCAATTTGTTGCCTGGCCCAATTAGATTTTGTAGATGCACCCAGTGCCTTGTGGTGGAGTGGGCTGCAGAAAAAACCATGCAATGCTTATAATGATACATCTGCTGTGCATTTTCTTTATATAATAAGTTTGGTCGAAGACTAGAAATGAGATAAGACTATGCCTCATGTTAATTCAATAATTTACAACTGCAGTTCATAGTAATACATTTTGAAATGTCAAAATTCATGAGGGTAGTAGGCAATAATAACTTTATTCCATGAATGATAAAATGCTATAGCATAAAATTAATATTGCATTGCTTTGACTGTGCTCACTAATGTATGCTTAATTTTGGATTTATTTTTAGACTGTTCAAATGATTGATAATAATAATAGCTTTTTTAAAAAATATATATTTGAAGTTGTTTGCACCAATTACATGTTCGTAACTTAACAAGTATTTTTATCTTGTGTTACTTTTTAAAATTGTTCCACTTAATTATTTATTTGTTTGTCAATAAGGAATGTCTCATCACACCTCAACTTGTTCTTTTTTTTAAATCAGAAAAAGTGATACACCAAAATGGCTGCCCCAAGAGGCAGAGGGATCAACACAGGGCTTACTTTGCTTGCAACTCAGATGATGCACTTTGGAGTAAAGAAAATTCCACCTGTTACACTTGCTCTTATAGCAGGGCAGACGGCGGTATACCTTGAACTTTTTGATAACATATTTCCTTCTCCCATGAGTGTTTGCATGAGCTCCTATTTAGGTTTGTATAATTAAGAATTCTTGTACAAACAATGAGAGTGTTGATGCTGTATCACAACAAACTTATGAGAGCCTTGAGAGGGCTTTTGATATTGCTGGTTGTGGGGACCACCATCATCATCGCCTGTCGTTGGGATAGATAGATGGAAAGGGATTATTGTTGAAGTTTTAGACTAAATAATTAGATTCACACACAGCCTAAAAATCTATGCCTTGCTAAAGTGCTGAAAATATGTCAATATAAACTCTTAGTTTGTGAGGGCAAAATGTTGGTCTGTTTTGTCCTCTGTAAGAACATTTATACAAAATTATTTTAAAAAGTAAAAAAATTATTTGTTAGATTTTTACATAACTTACTGGCATGATTGGTGTTAAATTGTTGCAATAATTAAGTTAATTAATTTAAAAATAACTATTTAATAACTTTTGTAAATATCAGTGCAAAATTTAAAATTGGAATGATATACCTTATAATCAATTGTTAGGATTTCAAATATTAAAACAAGTTGTTGAATTTTAATTCTCCCTTGCATAAAAAAACTTTTTTTTTGTAAAATGTATCCTATTTGAACTTTTTCATTGGACTTGATGTCCCTGTCTTTATATCCTGTTTAACAAGTATTTTGAAATAAATTTGATAACTAAACAAGATGTATTCCTTAAGGTTACATTGAATTCAAAGGAACATTTTTTAATAATCTATTTTTACTTTTTTTTCCTAATTATTTTTTCTCCAAGGTTTTTATATATATATATCCTCTAAAATAAAAAGAAGTATGCACCATTCTCGTTAAGAATTTGTTATAAGGATTTTTCCAGTGTTTGTCACCATATTACTCTCTTGCAGTTTACCATCACAGGGACTGGATGAGGATGATCAAAGGAACATTCTATCACGGTGATGACATGCATCTTTATTTCAACATGGCCAGTCTCATGTACAAGGGTTCATTGATAGAGACAGCTTATGGCAGTAGCTATTTTGCATACATGATAGCTGTTTTCACTGGCCTGACCAGCGCCACCTATGTAGGACTAGGACTTCTTCTCGGACATTATTTGCAGGATCCCAGTTATATAACATCCTGTGCTGTTGGTTTTTCAGGTGTGGGAATAGACTTTGGCACAAAAAATAAACAGTTAGCAATATTTCAAAATACTTATTGAAAATAAAATGTAAGACTGAAAATAATAATTTTAAAAATCTGTACCGGTATTAATTTTTTGCTTTCATGCTTTCGTTTTTTTTTATGTTGATATTTTAAAGTGATCTTAAGACTATTTAAAAATTATTTTTTTGCTTCTATAGATTTTGATGCGTGTTATATTGTACTAAATTAAATGTAGGAAACAATTTTTAGTCATGCCTTCAATATAATGATCCTTATTGAGGAAAAGCTAATTCTAAAAATTCTTTTACAGGCGTTTTGTTTGCTTTGAAAGTTATAGTAACGGAGGCAAGTCCACCAGGAGTGCAATACCTTTTAGGCAGTATTCCCATCCCTTCCAAATATTTCTATTGGGTTGAACTCATAGCCATTCAATTGGTGGCTCCTAATGCTTCCTTTGTCGGTGAGATATCCTTAAAATTTGATTGAAACTCCTTTACATGCCTCAAATAGTGAGTTTTTTTTTTTCTGTTGTAGTGCAGACTTTTTCCCACCAACTTAGAATGCTATAATTTAAAAAAATTATATGTATATTTTTTTCTTGTATGACACTTGAAAAATGATAGCACAAAATATCTGATTCAGAATTTTTGATTTGGCTAGCTTATGTGAGAACTGTCTCTCCGCACAGAACATCTGATTCAGAATTTTTGATTTGACTAGCTTATCTGAGAACTGTCTCTCCGCACAAAACATCTGATTCAGAATTTTTGATTTGGCTAGCTTATCTAAGAACTGTCTCTCGGCACAAAACATCTGATTCAGAATTTTTGATTTGGCTAGCTTATCTGAGAACTGTCTCTCCGCACAAAACATCTGATTCAGAATTTTTGATTTGGCTAGGTTATCTGAGAACTGTCTCTCCGCACAAAACATCTGATTCAGAATTTTTGATTTGGCTAGCTTATCTGAGAAATGTCTCTCCGCACAAAACATCTGATTCAGAATTTTTGATTTGACTAGCTTATCTGAGAACTGTCTCTCGGCACAAAACATCTGATTCAGAATTTTTGATTTGGCTAGCTTATCTGAGAACTGTCTCTCGGCACAAAACATCTGATTCAGAATTTTTGATTTGGCTAGCTTATCTGAGAACTGTCTCTCGGCACAAAACATCTGATTCAGAATTTTTGATTTGGCTAGCTTATCTGAGAACTGTCTCTCGGCACAAAACATCTGATTCAGAATTTTTGATTTGGCTAGCTTATCTGAGAACTGTCTCTCGGCACAAAACATCTGATTCAGAATTTTTGATTTGGCTAGCTTATCTGAGAACTGTCTCTCCGCACAATATATCTGATTCAGAATTTTTGATTTGGCTAGCTTATCTGAGAACTGTCTCTCCGCACAATATATCTGATTCAGAATTTTTGATTTGGCTAGCTTAACTGAGAACTGTCTCTCCGCACAATATATCTGATTCAGAATTTTTGATTAGGCTAGCTTAACTGAGAACTGTCTCTCTGACTTTTTGTTTGTTGTAGCATAAAATATTTGCTCAAAGAACAGTTAGCCAAATTATATAGGCTGACTTTTTTTTTAAAATTTGTTAATTTCCTGCATTAAAATATATCTTTTACATGTAAACTGATTAACATTCAGCAAAAGGAAGGAAATACAACCTTTCAAAGAAGAAAAAATCAAATCAAATTTGATTATCAAGAAAATTTCTAGTCTTATTCCAATTAGGTTTAAATTTATATCCTTGTATATGACATTACAGCAGTGGATTTGTAAAAAAAAATGTGTTGCAGTTTTATTATCTACATTTCATTATTTCAGGACATCTTGCTGGTATTCTTGTTGGCTTGGCCTATTGTAAAGGACCTCTCAAATTTATCATGGATATTTTCCACCCACCTGGTCAGTGAACTGTTCTGATCTTAACTTAATGTTTTTTCTGGACCAAAATTATTTTTTTTCAAAGGAAAGAACTATTGTATTCACATTTGAAAATGTTTAATTGAATATTAAACTATGTTAAGAAAGGCACAGAAAGTCATTAATGCAAAAATAAAATTAAAAAGTGAGATTTAAAATAAAGAGTTTCAACAAATTTAAACAAAAGATAACATTATTATTTCCTTGTACTTTAAAAAAAAAAAAACTAGATTCCTTTGAACCATTGCAGCCATCTTAGAATTTTTAAAAGAGGTTGATCATTGAAAACATGCCAGGACCGGTTTGATGGAAGTCTTTATAAATTTGTTGCTCCTACTGAAGTGAATATCAGTTTCATCACTTGTCTTCAAACTGTGTATTGCAAATAAATACTCGGTTTGTGTGAAATAGATTTTAAAAAAACTCACCTACAACATTTTATTAAAAATTTGCCATGTTTGCCATGCAGGGCTTCGCACAGTCAATAGGCCAAGGGATCATAGCAGCAGATTAGGCCAGAGGTCTGGTTGGAGGGGATGGTTTCGTTCCAGCAGGTTTACGGGTAGCGGCCATTCAGGTCATCGTGATAGGGAAGCTCACATTGCCCCCCCATTGTTCTCAGGTGACTATAGAAATGATCCCAGGTTTGAAGAGATAGAGAACATGTGGCTGAGGTCAGAAGGCAGACAAGGGTCGTCTGCTGACATTGGTGGTGGTGCTGGCCAAGGTAGTGCCAGACCCTCGGGTCGACCTGGGTCCAGTGCACCTTATGGCAGGCAGGATTCCAGTGCATCTTATGCCAGGCCAGGATTCAGTGCATCTTACAGTAGTTCTGGGGCAAGTGGTGGCTCTCAAGGTTATCCTACGTTTCCCAGACCAAAAGCCTCAGCACCCCCACCTGATTACAACACCAACGGAGAATACACAGGTAATGTCAACAATCGCTAGAAATTGATAATAATGAAAAAAAAGGAATGCAAATTATTCCTGTATTATTAGGAATGACAGTGATAAATTTTGTGTATAGGTTAACTGAAAGTAAAATGACTATTTATTTAATACTTTTAAACACAAACTATTTTACAAAAAGTATGTTTGTGACTCTGTGTGTGTTCCCATCACCTTGTAGCAAGTGTGTTTGTGACTCTGTGTGTGTTCCCCTCACCTTGAAACAGGTGTGTTTGTGACTCTGTCTGTTCCCGGTTGTCTTGGGGGTCACGTCTTGATGGCCTTGTTGAGTGCCAAATTAATCTTTATCCACTCTACATGCACATCTCTGGCTTGCACCTTGTAGTAGATAGCATAATCAGATAGCCCCCCCATAGCCTTTGTATATGCCCATCTCTGGCTTGCACCCTGTAGTAGATAGCATAATCAGATAGCCCCCCATAGCCACTCTATATGTCCATCTCTGGCTTGCACCCTGTAGTAGATAGCATAATCAGATAGCCCCCTATCATCCTGGGAATTTTGTTTTATAATTATGTAATAAGTCAATAGCTTTGAGTTAAATTATTTAATAAAAATCTTTAATATCCTGTATGTAACTTTTTTTGTTTAAAAAAAAATTTCCCCACACATTTGGTATTCATCCTAACAACTACAAACTAAAGGCTATTGCTATTTGTTTGTAGACAGCTTATTTCAAATCTCATGCCTAGATGACTTCCCCAAAAACATGGGCTTTACTTTTGTATCAAGTCAATTTCACCTGACTTTTAAGCTGGTGATGACCCTGGACAAATTTAAACAACATGGTTGAGTCAAAGTGAGAGAAAACATTTCCATTGTATCACATCACAATGGCCATTACTGATGTGATTATTGTGCAATATCATTATCATTATATATCATTACCGGTATCTATTATATTATTATTATATTGTTCTTATATATTATATATCATTATTTCATTATTATTTACCATGCAGAGTTTCATTTTGATCCTGCAAGTTCATGTTATGAAATGGACTGGCTGGAATAATGAACCTTTTTATTTTGTTGTTGTTTAAACGCCCCATCGTCATGTGATTAGGCTGAATGTTAAGATAAATCAATACCAATGGCTTAATTTTCAAAGAAGGTGAGCCTCGGTGCTACACTGTTCATTTCGCCACACTGAGCCTCAGTGCTACACAGTTCCTGTCACCACACAGGTAACTTTTTATCACCCCGCTCTTAATTTTGAACTTGTTTTTGCAGATGGTTTGGATGAAGATGATCAGTACAACCTGGCCATAATGGAAAGTATTGAGAGCAGCAGACAAACAACTCAGGGTCAACATTCTCCAAGTAAGGGTTCAATAATTTATTTATCACTGATTCATTTAGACGTCAGTCAGTCAGTTTTAACATTTTTTTTCTTCACCTTATGAAATTATTTCTTTCTTTTTTTTTTCTTCATGATTTTGTAGTTTAGTTAAGAAGCACAATAATACAACAGTCTCTGCTCAATTTAAACTGTAAAATTAGATGTGATTGTGTCACCATTGGACTAGGGTGTCTGCCCCCCCCCCCTCACCCCCTGAGTGGTGTTGGCCAACTCTTGATTGGAAGCATTTGCTTCCCATCCCCTTCTGTGTAGATGCCTTTGGTTAGGCTAAATGTTATGATAAATCAATACAAATGGCTTAACTTAAAAAGAAAGTGAGTCTTTGTGCCATATAGTTCCAGTCACCAAACAGTGAGCCTCTGTGTCACATAGTTCCAGTCGCCAAACAGTGAGCCTCAGTGGCATATAATTCCAGTCACCAAACAGTGAGCCTTTGGTTAGGCTAAATGTTATGATAAATCAATACAAATGGCTTAACTTAAAAAGAAAGTGAGTCTTGGTGCCATATAGTTCCAGTCACCAAACAGTGAGCCTCTGTGTCACATAGTTCCGGTCACCACACAGTGAGCCTCAGTGCCATATAGTTCCAGTCACCAAAAAGTGAGCCTCTGTGTTACATAGTTCCAGTCACCACACAGTGAGCCTCTGTGCCATATAGTTCCAGTCACCAAACAGTGAGCCTCTGTGTCACATAGTTCCAGTCGCCAAACAGTGAGCCTCAGTGGCATATAATTCCAGTCACCAAACAGTGAGCCTCTGTGTCACATAGTTCCAGTCACCAAACAGTAAGCCTTGGTGCCATATAGTTCCAGTCATCAAACAGTGAGCCTCTGTGCCATATAGTTCCAGTCACCAAACATTGAGCCTCTGTGTTACATAGTTCCAGTCACCAAACAGTGAGCCTCTGTGCCATATAGTTCCAATCACCAAACAGTGAGCCTCTGTGCCATATAGTTCCAGTCACCAAACAGTGAGCCTCTGTGCCATATAGTTCCAGTCACCAAACAGTGAGCCTTGGTGCCACATAGTTCCAATCACCAAACAGTGAGCCTCTGTGCCATATAGTTCCAGTCACCAAACAGTGAGCCTCTGTGCCATATAGTTCCAATCACCAAACAGTGAGCCTTGGTGCCATATAGTTCCAGTCACCAAACAGTGAGCCTTGGTGCCACATAGTTCCAATCACCAAACAGTGAGCCTCTGTGCCATATAGTTCCAATCACCAAACAGTGAGCCTTGGTGCCATATAGTTCCAATCACCAAACAGTGAGCCTTGGTGCCATATAGTTCCAATCACCAAACAGTGAGCCTCTGTGCCATATAGTTCCAGTCACCAAACAGTGAGCCTTGGTGCCACATAGTTCCAATCACCAAACAGTGAGCCTTGGTGCCATATAGTTCCAATCACCAAACAGTGAGCCTCTGTGCCACATAGTTCCAATCACCAAACAGTGAGCCTCTGTGCCATATAGTTCCAAACACCAAACAGTGAGCCTTGGTGCCATATAGTTCCAGTCACCAAACAGTGAGCCTTGGTGCCACATAGTTCCAATCACCAAACAGTGAGCCTCTGTGCCATATAGTTCCAATCACCAAACAGTGAGCCTTGGTGCCATATAGTTCCAATCACCAAACAGTGAGCCTCTGTGCCATATAGTTCCAATCACCAAACAGTGAGCCTCTGTGCCATATAGTTCCAATCATCACTCAGGTAAATTATATATCGCCCAGCTCTTAAGTTTGACCTTGTTTTTGCAGCTGGTTTGGATGAAGATGATCAGTACAACCTGGCCATAATTGAAAGTATTGAGAGCAGCAGACAAACAACTCATGGTCAACATTCTCTGATTAAGGGTTCAATGATTTATCACTGATTCATTTAGATTTAATCTTTTTCAGTCAGTTTAAACATTTTTTTTCTTCATCTCATGAAATTCTTTCTTTCTTTTTTTTCTTCATGATTTTGTTGTTAAGTTAAGAAGCACAATAACACAAGAGTCTCTGCTCAATTTAAACTGTAAAATTAGATGTGATTGTGTCACCATTGGACTAGGGTGTCTGCCCCCCCCTGAGTGGTGTTAGCCAACCCTCTTTCCCTATAGAACTCGTACTTGGTAAATTTTGTACTGTGTTCTGTACATTTGGTGTTTAATTCGGGAGTTCACAATGAATATTGGTAATACACAAATTTACAATTAAAATATTGTTAGAACATTGTTGATCATTAAAAATATTATTGAATGACGAATGATAACATTTTTTGCCAACAGCAAATTAGATTATCCAAATGCAATGATTTTTTTTTTTAGTTAAACCATAATTTTTTATTTCAGTTTTAATTCTTAAAATTATAAATTTGGCTTGTGGTCAAACATCATTTTAAACAAGAGGATTTGAATTCAGTTCCCAGCCTAGACAATTCGAATACTTTTTTTCCTCCTAACAAGCTTTTAGGTAGTCGGTGTAAGAGCTTTTGGGTAGTCTGTGTCAAGACTTTTCAGTAGTCTGTGAATAGGATTTTTGTTTTGTCTGTGAACAGGGTTTTGACTCTGCATGTTTGGGAACTGAGAATTTCAATCTAACTGTATACACTACTTCTAAAGCCAACTTTTTTTGGAAACATTTCATTGGGATAAAATGGGATGGATGGCCTATGAACTGGTCACAGGAGATATTTATAATTTTCTTTGCTATAGTCTATATCAGTGGGGTCCTCAAATTATGTCCGATGGGCCAGATCCTGTCCTTGCACATGGGTAACTAGCCTGTTTTGCCACCTCATGAATACCCATGTAGAAAGGGAAAATATGAAACTAGACACTGACTATTTCTTAGCCAAAAGCTGGCCCATGCTTCACATTGAAATACTAAATAGTCCCATTCTCCGATGGGATCCTGTTCCCTGGTGGATCTTGTTCCCCAGGGTACCCCCTTCCAATGAGTACAGTTAAGTTATCCCAAAGATATGGGACCAACTTTGTCCAAGATCCATCCCTGCATGTACAAAGAATCCAAAATGTTATCTAGGCGTTCAACTTAGCTGTACATAGCTTTGGTAATTGTAAGGGAACTTTATTTGGAACTTTACATAAAATTTCAAAAATATCTTTAAATCTTGTTTCATAACATTTGAGGAAACTTTTTTAAAGTTGTAGAAACATAATAAGGCATTAAGGCATTTATATAAGCCTAAAACTGTTATAGAAAATATCAATATAGAACTTTCTAAAAAATTCTAGATTTAATTTAATTGTGCCTCCCCCTTTTCCCTTTAAACAAAATCCCCTCTCCCAAAAATCCCCCCTCTCCCTTCTCGAAACATTAAAAATGACTCTTCTACATTATCTCTTTTTGAAAATGACAAAAAATCTGCAACAAAACACCCATGAATAATACAATTTTTCATTCAAGTTAATGAGCCAGAATGATCAGTTCATTGATCGTGGGCTCTCAAAATATAGAAGACGAAGAGGAGGGGCCCTGCCTGGGACCCATTCCATAAGATGCTGCTTTAGTTATACCTAAGATAGGCGGCCCTATCAAATAAATAATGAAGTTAAAATTTAAAAATTGTACCATTGAAATCTGTTGAAAAGGGGCGGGAGATCTATTATTTTAAATTATCAAACTTTCGGGAAATTTCTAGACTGTCCACGAATGTCATGGATATTATTACTTTTGAATCCACTGAGCAATATTTCAATACGGATTTTGAAGGGTATTGCTGGCAAGCTTGGCCTAGATCCATCATTCATTTAAAAATTTGTTGTCTAAGCCTATTGGTATTTCTAAAGCTTATATAAGAAAAAAATGAAATTGTGGCCCGCAGCCTCGTAGAAGTTGATAATATGATTTCAGTACCTTTCAATATTTACACATGGATAATCAAGTGTATGTGAACTAAGTTTGCACTAAATCCATAAACCCAAGCAGTAGCGTATGTTTTAACTATTATTTATATGGCTACCATATTATAAGGGGAAAACAGTGGAATTAGGGGCCCCTGTGAAGTTCAAAACCTCCCATTATTTTCACATCTGGCAAGTAGTTATAAACATTATTTATACAGAGCGGATAAAGCAATGATATAAATGAAGATTATAGTTTCCTCTTTCAGGATTATATCCAGATTTAAGTGAGCTGAGAGCTAAACGGGCCCATTTCTACAAGTGAAGAACATCGAAGATGTTCACATGAGCATCCACTCCGCAAACCTCATTCCAATGGCTTTAAAGCAGCATTATCTGTAACTCTGATCAAATCTCATCATTAATCTTCTGCTGAACTGGATTGTGACTAAAGTGTGACTCTGGATACAGTCAAAAGAGGACGGCAGTAGCATCTCATTCCTTGTCCACAGAAGAACTGTCAGTTCTGGTGCAAAGCTTTTTATCCTCTCTTGGTCACTTAAATAATGTAGTTTCAATTTTCAGCTTCATCAGGTAGCTTGTTTGAAAAAATTCTATACGGTCAAGTTATAAAGCAAGGCAGAACTTGACATTATATATCTACACAGGCCCTGAAGATTGTGCCACCTAAATAAGTAAAGAAAACGTTGAAATCTGTGCCTGTGATGGGAACAATAAAAAAACCTTGACGGACAAATGGCTACTTATATTGAGAATGCAACTTTAACTAGCAACCTGTGAAATTCCACACCTATGTTGAATAAAGATTCTGAAAATAATTATTTTATTCATTCTCAATCTGGATTGTTAGAAAAATGTCCAAAATTGCTTTGCAATGATGAAGCTATAAAACTCTTTTTTCACAATTAGCCAGGTTAGCTGAAGATTCCATCTCAAATTGTTAGCCAGGTTAACTGAAGATTCCATCTCATATTGTTGGCCAGGTTAGCTGAAGATTCAATCTCATATTGTTGGCCAGGTTAGCTGAAGATTCAATCTCATATTGTTATATTTTTTTTACTTGTCCGGCTTTTAAAATGTCAGTGTTTTTAATAAAGAGCAATCTTCTGCTGCTGACAGTTCAATAATCTATCTTTTGTTCTCAAATGCAATACTATAATTTATTTCAACATCTATATGTGATTGCTAGTTTTTATAGGCTTTTTAAAAAATTTATTTAATGTAAATAAAAATTAACTGAAAGAATTAATATATCTTTGATGGCTTTCAATATCTTTTTATCCCTGGACATCTTTCATTAAGAAAAAAAAAAAGGATCAGTGCTTCTATTTTTTTTAACTGAGTCAAATTGAGAGCATGAAAATAAATATTTTAAATTTCAAAAGTCTGTGATAAATTCTTAAACAGATGGTTTTTTTCAACTCTTCATTTTTTTTTTTTAAATTCCAGAAGAAAACAAAAATTGCCCCCCCCCCCCCATTAAATTTACATACCTTGAATTTATTTCAATCTTTGATTCAAATCATTTAAACAGATGGTTTTTTTCAACTCTTCATTTTATTTTTTTAAATTCCAGAAAAAAACAAAAATTGCCCCCCCCCCCCCATTAAATTTACATACCTTGAATTTATTTCAATCTTTGATTCAAATCAAAACTCAAATTATTTGAAGTGCTTCAATAAATGTAAAAAAAAAGACTGCCCTTTTATGCAGTCCTTCATTTCACCCAGCTAGTCAACATGTCATATCTCTATGAGAATTTCACCGCTATAATAATTTGTGTTATTTTATTTCTTTATTATAGTAATAGAAGTAATTTTTCAACATGACAATGTGTAAATGATTGTTGATTTGGGGCTTGCACATATATAATTGTTGATATCAATTCTTCTTGATGAAGGTGCTTAATATAATTATGTGTTCTATATAATATTATATAAAGCCAAACTCACTCTAAATATGGGCCAAAAAAAAGGCATCACATTTTATTTAAAGCCTTGTCTTTAGTGGTGGTGGTTGGGGCAGAGGGGAGGGTTGCATTATTGGTAATTTTTGATATTTAAAAAAAAAAAAGATTCACTACGGAAATGAACATTTTGGCTCCCACCGTTATGGTTCTCATCTTGAACATAGAAATAATGTTTGTGTTCAAATTTTGTTTAGTAAAATGTCTTCTTAAATTCAGATCAATTAGCTTGTAGTGAACAAAGGCAAACAGGCTGAAATAGCTGCTAAGCACTCTAGTTTTTATGTTTAAAAAAAAACTAATTAGAAGGATGAAAATTCCTTAACAGAAACTATACTAAAGGCTACTAGTGGCCCTAGTGATAAAAACACTTAAAATTTAAATACATTAAAATACAGCGAACCCCTGTGGAAGGGTGGGAGACTGATATTTTTGTGTTTTACAAACAAACAAAAAAAATGACAAAAGTGAGTCAAATACTTTTTTAGCTTATTGCTAATGTATTTTTAGGTGCGGAGATGTGTGGAGACCTGCTCCATAGTTTACTTAAACAAGTTGAACATTATCACGATCAAGGCTTTCAACATCTTGTAACACATTTTGTCGAATTGGAGCAAAATTAGAACTGAACATAAGCATATGCATTGGCGTCATATTTTTAAACTTTTTTTTACAATATTTTTATGCTCGATATATAAGGAAATTAGATTTAAGGCAACTCTTTAGATTCAAATTTTGTAATTTGCATTTTAAATTGATTCTTTACATTGAATGTATAGTTGTTTATTTTTGAAACACTATGAACCCATGACATGTGCAACAAAATATTATTGCCACCATTAAAAAAATTTAAAATTTTTAATGTGATTTTTTATTTGTTAAATTTTCCCTTGCCGCGCAATAGTAGTGTGTTTGTCTCATAACTAAGAAGTAGCCGAGACCATAGTAGTGTGTTTGTCTCATAGCTAAGAAGTAGCCGAGACCATAGTAGTGTATTAGTCTGATAACTAAGAAGTAGCCGAGACCATAGTAGTGTATTAGTCTGAAAACTAAGAAGTAGCCGAGACCATAGTAGTGTATTAGTCTGATAACTAAGAAGTATCCGAGACCATAGTAGTGTGTTTGTCTGATAACTAAGAAGTATCCGAGACCATAGTAGTGTGTTTGTCTGATAACAAAAAAGTAGCTGAGACCATAGTAGTGTGTTTGTCTGATAACAAAAAAGTAGCTGAGACCATAGTAGTGTGTTTGTCTGATAACAAAAAAGTAGCTGAGACCATAGTAGTGTGTTTGTCTGATAACAAAAAAGTAGCTGAGACCATAGTAGTGTGTTTGTCTGATAACAAAAAAGTAGCTGAGACCATAGTAGTGTGTTTGTCTGATAACAAAAAAGTAGCTGAGACCATAGTAGTGTGTTTGTCTGATAACAAAAAAGTAGCTGAGACCATAGTAGTGTGTTTGTCTGATAACAAAAAAGTAGCTGAGACCATAGTAGTGTGTTTGTCTGATAACAAAAAAGTAGCTGAGACCATAGTAGTGTGTTTGTCTGATAACAAAAAAGTAGCTGAGACCATAGTAGTGTGTTTGTCTGATAACAAAAAAGTAGCTGAGACCATAGTAGTGTGTTTGTCTGATAACAAAAAAGTAGCTGAGACCATAGTAGTGTGTTTGTCTGATAACAAAAAAGTAGCTGAGACCATAGTAGTGTGTTTGTCTGATAACAAAAAAGTAGCTGAGACCATAGTAGTGTGTTTGTCTGATAACAAAAAAGTAGCTGAGACCATAGNGAGATTAAACATTGGTCTATTTATGCTAACATGAGATTAAACATTGGGCTATTTATGCTAACATGAGATTAAAAATTGGTCTATTTATGCTAACATGAGGATTAAACATTGGTCTATTTATGCTAACAAGGGGATTAAACATTTGTCTATTTATGCTAATATGAGATTAAACATTGGTCTATTTATGCTAACATGAGATTAAACATTGGGCTATTTATGCTAACATGAGATTAAAAATTGGTCTATTTATGCTAACATGAGGATTAAACATTGGTCTATTTATGCTAACATGGGGATTAAACATTTGTCTATTTATGCTAACATGAGATTAAACATTGGTCTATTTATGCTAACATGAGATTAAACATTGGTCTATTATGCTAACATGAGATTAAACGTTGGTCTATTTATGCTAATGTGGGGATAAAACATTGGTCTATTTATGGTAATATGGGGATTAAACATTGGTCTTTTTATGCTAACATGGCGATTAAAAAATGGGCTATTTATGATAGCATGGTCATGTGATTAAATATGAGCTATTTATGATACCCAGGAATGGAACAAAAGCTACTGATGATGTGTGTTTGTGTGTGTATTTTAGGCGGAAGGTGGGGTTGGGGGGGGGGAGACACACGCCATGTTATGTTCGTGATCTGGACAGTCTTTAGTATCTCGAAGTGTGTCAATGTAGATACAAAATAACCTTAACCCAACAATGTTCCTTGGCCTCGGGTGCAATGTCTGAGATGATAAGTAAGACAACCCCTGTAGGAAACGTGTCACCCATCCAAAAGTCTTAGATAATTTAAAAATATTATTGAGTCATTAGCCCCACATCCTACTGTGTCATTGCTGTTAAATGCACAACCCCCCCCCCCTCAATAAAAAAACAACAAAACAAACAACAAGGAAAAAATAAAAAAAAACAACAACAACAACAAAAACTACACGAAAAAAAAAAACAAAACAAAACCAAGTCCAACACTGTTGATATCTCAGCAACATGCTATTTTTATTTTGATAGTCGGATATATTTTTTGTTTGGTTCCTCTTCTGTTTTCATTCCAAGGGTAAGGCACTTACATCCGGGTTTTGTTTAAACAAATATCACCAAATAGCGAGTGAGAATTGCCCCCCCCACACCCACCCCCCTCCCACACACCATTTATTTCCCCCCTCCCGTCCATTGCCGTGTCATGGCGAGATCGTCTCGTTCATATATTTAGTATTTATTTATCCTCATCATCATCTTCATGATCATCACCATCTTCCTCCTCACTCGCGGTCGGTTCTCCGTTGAAGGGAAGTGTGTCTGGAGTGTAGTAGCAGAGCTGTGGTTGAAGGAGAGACGAAAATATTATGTCTTTTATGTTATATCAGTCTTTCCCAAACGTGTGTGTATGGGGGTGGGGAGAGGGTGGGGTGGGGGCATTACGCCCTACGGAAATGGTTGAATTCGATTAACATGTAGGGACATTTAGTAACCTGGGATTGGAAATGTCTGTATCTCGGGGTTCTTTTGATGGTGTGTTTTTTGTTGTCATTTTTTTAAATGGGACAATGTTAAACGGGACTATTAACAAAATTGTAATCTTGTTTGTCATTTATTGCAATACAAGCATGCCTCAATTATTGAACGTTTTATTCTTATCATCACAAAATAGCATCGTTGAATATCAAGGCCCATTCAGACGGCGAAATTGAAAGTCTGTTGTGCTGACGGCAGCGTTGAGAGAACTTATTATTTTTAGCTCTCCCAGAGCCCCGGGCGCATTCCAACTACTTGTAGGCATACAACAGACCTACTTTTTTTTTTTTACAAAGCCGCGTGACTGGCAAAATCAAATGTGACCTACCCTCTGTGAGTGACTTATTATCAGACATAATTTTATAAAATGGGCTCTTAAACCTCTGAGCTACTTTAAGTCCTCTGTATACCCGGTCCCGTAAATTGTGACCTTGTGTCACCTACCCACATTTGAACGTCCACTTCAAAGAGCCCGTGGCGACTTGCCTGGCGACACAATATTGATCCACATGTTTTAAGCTTATCTTTCTGCACTAACCAGAGCCATAACGACGATTAACTTGTAAATTTAGACAATCAGTGGCGTAGCAAGTTGGACCATCCCCGGGCGGAACTTTTAATTTTAATTTTTTTTGGTTTTTTTTTATGGGTGGGTAGCCTTTTCGACCAACTACAAAAACATTTTTTTTTCCGTGGTAAGGGGGTGGCAAAAGCCTCGCCCTCGCGCCCAGGCAACGCCCCTGTACACAAGGCTGGTAGGTCTACGGGAAATGTCTATTTGAAACATGTTGTTTGTACTTACATACAGTATGACGTCGTTGAGGGCGTGGCGTGGGGTCTTTCCGTCAGAGGTGTCGAGACCCTTGTCGGCCGTGTCGTAGCGGATTTCCTCCACGACGTACTTCATTCCCTTGACACTCTGGCAGTTTTGGCTCTGAGGAGGGAGTGCATTGATTTGAAATGGGGGATGAGGAGGGAGTGCATTGATTTGAAATGGGCGATGAGGAGGGAGTGCATTGATTTGAAATGAGCGATGAGGAATGAGTGCATTGATTTGAAATGGGGGATGAGGAGGGAGTGCATTGATTTGAAATGAGCGATGAGGAGGGAGTGCATTCATTTAAAACGAGCGATGAGGAAGGAGTGCACTGATTTGAAATTAGGTAAGAGGAGGTAGTGGATTGATTTGAAATGAGCGATGAGGAGGGAGTGGATTGATTTGAAACGAGCGATGAGGAAGAAGTGCAATGATTTGAAATGAGGTAAGAGGAGGGAGTGGATTGATTTGAAATGAGGTATGAGGAGGGAGTGAATTGATTTGAAATGAGGGATGAGGAAGGAGTAGATTGATTTGTAATGAGGGAATTGGAATGCATAGTTAGTCAACAGGGCTGCCCTAATCTTGTGAGCCTTTCCTCTGTGGAGTGGGGTAAGGTGGCTCAGTAGAATCAGCTTAGATGTTCTATTGCACCATGTCAAGCCGATGTCGTGGCAACGCCAAGTCCAAGTTTAGCAGTGAAGAAATAACCACGTAGAATGGACCCGTCGGTCGAGGCGTACCGAGGAACACTCAATACATAAAGCTGCACCCATATGAAGCTTAAGAATTTATTTTTTTAGGCTTTTATAATAAATATTAAGATAATTCAAATTAAGGAAAACATGGTCATGCGTTTTGGTCGACTCATATCAATTATAAGGTTTATATTTAAATATTTATCTTATGTTGAATTCGGGGATTTAGGGCCAGGAAGTTCATGGACCGCCCCTGGCGTCTCAAAGTCTAGAGATACGCCACCGTTAACTAGAATTTTTGTTTAAAGAAAAACATAGAAATAATAAAAAATGTTTTTATCAGATGAAGACCTGAAGGTAAATTAGTATATAGAGTTTATATTGCAATTAAATTCTAAAATCTAGAAGTCACTTCACATGAACTGTGTATTTTAATGACCAAATAAAAAAAAAAAAACGAGGTATAACTACGTCAGATCTTCAGATGGACGAAAACTAACTAAGCTTTCTCGTGTCAAGTGAAAGAATGGTGTAGACATGGGCTCAAAGTTTGTGCATTTTATGTAATTAAAGGAAATAATGGACTCCCCGATACAGTTAGAATGGACTCACCCGTCCCTGATACGGATAGAACGGACTCACCTGTCCCTGATACAGATAGAACGGACTCACCTGTCCCTGATACAGATAGAACGGACCCACCTGTCCCTGATACAGATAGAACGGACCCACCTGTCCCTGATACAGATAGAACGGACTCACCTGTCCCTGATACAGATAGAACGGACCCACCTGTCCCTGATACAGATAGAACGGACTCACCTGTCCCTGATACAGGTAGAATGGACCCACCTGTCCCTGATACAGGTAGAATGGACCCACCTGTCCCTGATACAGATGGAATAGAACGGACCCACCTGTCCCTGATACAGGTAGAACGGACTCACCTGTCCCTGATACAGGTAGAATGGACTCTGTGTGGGCAGTGCAATAGACGTGTTGAATAAACTGTCGTTTCTATA